ATAAAGCACTTTGGGGTCTCCAGGGGTGGTCAGTACCAACAGCATGGATACACGTCGGCTGTTATCAGTTATGATCAGAAGTGGCCGAGAAACTCTCTGACTGGCCAACCTCAAGCGACCAAAAATCGTGAGTCAGACCACAAAAAATCATGAGATTTAAAAAAAAATTGATAGTGTGGTTTTTGGTCAGTCTTGATTTTTTAACTCCCCCTGCCCACTCCCTGTATGTGTGTGTGACGCTTAGTATTGTGCACTGTACCAATTTTACTGGGAAATGTGATTCTGACCCCTGCTTCAGAAGTGCTCATAGCCACACCTGCCCGTTCCCTGCCCAGCAACTTCTGATGCCTCCCAACCTCCAAACCAATCCTTTTATCAGTTCTGCCCCCCCCCAGCTTCCCCCTTCAGTTCTGCCCCATAAGTTCAGCCACCCTCAGTTGAGCCCATCCCCCACCTCCATCAGTTCAGCCCCCCAGCCTCACCTTTGCTCCTGTTGGATTCTTCACCCCCCCCACACCCACACACATCTGGGAGGCTGCAGCAGGAACCCCTCTGTACCCCTGTCCCTCCCCAGGCTGAGTGTTGCAGGGGCGGAGTAGAGGGCTGTTCCCACTGCTCACAACAGGGAGCGGAGCTGCTGAGCTCTTGCTGCTCCCTTCCCTCCTCCCTGAGAGCTGCTTCTGAGGGAGCTCTTCCTACAGCAACTCTGACTGTTGCTGGGCCCCAGGAGGCAAGTAAGGGGGGCAGATAGCCAACTGGGGGGCTGGGCTCAGTCCCTCAGGCAGGGCTCAATCTTGTTAGAGGCCTGGAGCTTTTTGCCTTGTCTCCAGCCAGGCTTCAGCCCAGCCAGAATCCCCTTGCTGGGGGACATGCCATGGCAAAACCTGGCAGCACCACTAGTGAGGGGCATTGCTGGCTGACGTCGCTCATCCATGACAAACCTGAGCAGTCGGCCAGCCCATGTCAAGGTGGGGCAACCTTTGCCCAGGAGGGGCACAGAGCTGGGCTGTGCTCTATGAAGGGGTGGCTCGAGCACAGCCCTTACCTCACAGGGATCTCAGACAAGCTCTTCACTTTCATCTGTAGTCTGAACGTGCAGCCCACAGAGACACACAGCTCACCATGCCTTGCTTCATTCAGTCCAAGCTGAAGGTTACCCCGTATGCTGGGAGCTCTTCCTGCCCCACCTTTCTGGTGTGTGACCCAGGAAGGGGCTCGCTCAACTAAGGAGGGTTTGTCTGGAGGAGGGGCAGCCATTGCCATCCAAATGCACCTGCTGCTGCACTGAGGGCTGGTATGTGTCACTCAGGATTGCACAGTTGCTGGTGAAGAGCAATTTCATTGGGGTTGCTTGGAGGAGATTATACAGGGACCTAATGGCTGGCCTCTGGTGCTTCTCTGTATAAGGCCAACTTCAGCTTCCTATGGAATGTGAATGAGCAAACCTGGCCCGTCCCACCCTGCCTGGCAGCATATCACACAGGGGGCAACCCTTCCTCTGACACTGACCTTGGGCCTCCTTCCTTCCTGTCTCAGAGGCAAGTGCTCCTCCTGATGGGCTGGTGCTGGGCAGGCCTCAGGCTGCTAGTGGCCCCTTTATTATCTCTTCTGCTTCCTTTCAATTCTAAGACTCAGCTGGCTTGGAAAGGGTCACATGTCCCTGCTATGAACAGGAAAAAGGGAAAGTGGCATATTGTTGTCTGTCCCCTCCCCAACACCACACTAATCTCTCCAGTTAAGAGAGTATCTTCCTCTGTGCCTGCCAGGTGGCTTATTATTCACTGAGTAGCAGGCTTGCTTAGCACCCAATTTGGCAAAAGAGGAACTAGGTCTAGTTGCAAGAGTGGAGTTCAGCCTCCATGATTCAGTTCTCAGTCCCTCTGCTGCCACTGTCAGGTTAGTCATGGAACCCACTAACAAGGGCTGAGACCATCCCATCCCCACCTGCAATAGGTCAAGGACATTGTCCATAACATTCAGACACTACCAATTTAGATGGGAGATAGTGCTTTAGACACAAAAGGCTCTGTATCTTGGTACTAATCTGCTAAACCAGCCAGTCCCCTGACCCATGCTGGGTTTACATTAGAAACCTACAAGTGAAAGGCCCAGTGTTGTCTTCTCAATCCCTGGAGCTGTCCCCTGTCCCTAGAGCTGTCTAGAGCAGCACTGAAATTAGATTAATTCATGAGTTGCACCTGTATTTATTCTGCATGGCTGGTGCCTTCAATTAGTCCTCTTAAGACACCAGTCATTTACTGTGGAGGGAGGTTACAGGCTATATTATCCTTAGGAATTATCGGTAGTCAGGGTGGACAAAACAGAGAATAGAGACCCATGGATGGGAGACAGAACCAGGGCTCAGTGAACATGATAGACTGAAACAAGATCAGGGCTATCTTGATGGGCAACATGGTCACACTCAGCTAAGGTCAAAAACACTTAGAGACAGCAGCCTGAGGCCTTGTCCTGATGAGTACAGGGCCATGGCAAGAAAGAGAGAAGGGAGACAGATGGAGCCTTGCTTGTTCCATATTGTCCTGCAGGGCTATTTGGAAGCCTTCCTGGCACTGGCTGGGAGATGAAAGCAAAAGGATTATCCCTGGAATGAGATTATTAGATTGAAGATTTAATCTCTGACCCTGTCAGCACAAAAAAATAGCAAAACTCCCTGGGATTATTTGAGGTTGCATAGGGAAATAAAACCAGCCCTGGGAGGAAGAGACTCTGCTGGAACCAACAGCAATCATCACATGCATCCAGACCAGCCCCCTCTGACCTATCATGGGGTTGATCCTGCAGTGAGGAGCTAGTGGGTTTATGGGGAATGCCAAGACTTTCCTCAACAGAAGCCTTGGGCTTTCATGTCTACTCTAGACCAACTACAGCCTCTTCATGCAGCACAGCTGTGCCCTGATGCAATCCACAGCCCCAGTGGTTCCATAGGGCAGAGCTGGACTCAATATTCACAGGTGAAATTGTGTTTAGTGATATTCTTTCTTCCAGATTAGAGTGAGAAAGCCTCCAATCTCTGCCATCACCAGACAGGAAAGGCACCTCCCTACCTTCCATCTATCAGAGCACCCTTCCCCCCAACACATGCACTGCACCTGCATCCCACAGGTTGATGCTTTGTCAGGGTTACTCTAAGCATATGTGATTATTTGTAAGCCCCCAGGAGCAGTAATGAGCAGAGAATGTGCCCAGTGATTGAGATTATGCATTCTGGGGAATCCTGTGCAATTTGGACTCTGTGCAACCTCCATGAATGGGCTTATGTTTTTAAATAAATTAAGACAATGTCCCACCATCTGCTGCTGCAGGCAGAGGAGCCTCAATGCAGGGGCAGGCAGCCAAAGAGACAGTTACTGTGACTATTTTACCCATTCAGAGGCCACATGCACACAAGCTCATTCCCATCACACACACACCCACACACACACCCCTGCAATGTTCCTATTGCTCAGTATGCCATGTGCCTGCACACTTACTCTTATCACACACACATGCATCAAGTGCCTATCACTTAACACCTGTGCAGGCATTCCCATCACATGCATATACAGGGGGAATCCATGCACACTCTCTCTCATCACTCATACATACACACGCTGTTCCATCACTTCACACATTCCCACTGTGCACACACACAAGAGGACATACAAGCGCACACGCTCCCATTGCTTAGGGACATGCCTATACAAACACTCCCATTGCGTGCACACATACACTCCCACCAGACACATACCACACGCATATATCTAGCTAGGGTTCTGTGCTACACTCATCACAGAAGTATCTGTGCACAGCACACACACACCATCTGCACTCACACATCAGAGGCCTGCATGGTCGCTTGAGCATCATGTGCAACTATTTGTACATACGCTTTCCTTTCAGCTCTAGTGGGCATACCCACATACCTATAGCAGTATTGTGTGTGCACACACAGAGAGATCTCATGCAAATAGCCATGTGCCCACTCCCATGCATTCCCTACACACACGCACAAACCCTTCTGCCCACACACTCCTGTCCAAATACTCTCATACACGCTCCCACTGCTGGAATGTCAATTACTGCCGCAGCAGACTAACTGGCACAGCAACAAGCAAATGGAAGCAAGAGAACATCCTCATTCAGGAAATTGCGCCTTTGGGACAGAGAAGAATTTGGGAACCTGGCAGCCTGAGGGGAAAGAAGAGAAATAGCAACATTGGGCTAGTCGGAGGCTCTTGTGCCTCAGGCCCTATCCTGGGAAGAGGGACAGCCAAGGAGAAGAAAATGCTCCCAGGAGACTGAGAGAAATCCAGAGAGGGGATGATGCCCCTTGAACTGCAGGAGGAACTAGGCCCAGTGATCTAGTGAGTGACTGAAACCCCAGCCTAGAGAAATGGGGATGTGAATGGGGCAGGCCCAGCATCTGCCTGAGACACAGAGAGTGAGGGGAAGACAGGAGAGAGTCCAAGGGAGAGCCTAGGATAAAGAGAAGGAAAGGAACAGAGGGGGTAGCACCTGATGCTATAAAAGAGGGACAGGAAGAGCCTGGGGGCCAGTATCATGGTACATACTGCAGAGTCACACACTGCGTTCTAGAGTGCACTTCTTTGTAGGCAGACAGACAGACAGAGTCTCTGTGTTCTGGATGGCTCTACAGCCTCAGACACTGGGCCAGAGTAACCCCTGGTGTAAGTCCACTGACAAAGGGATTTCCAGCAAGGAGGAATTTAGCCCATTAAGTCTTTGGTACCTGGCAGTATGTATACCTTGTGTTTGTATTACGCTGCCTGTGGCTAGAATGGCTGGAGGTATCACTCATGCTGAACAGCACCTAGTCACCAATCCTGCAACAAGCAGCCTCTACCTCCCCTGGCTCCAGCTCGTCCCCCCAGCTGCGACATGGGCCCCAAAGCAGTCTGGTTGGAGTGGATCGGTTGGCAGATGCTCCTCCCTCTGGCCCGCCCTTCACCTCACACAGAAAGGCCAGGGCTGCGCACAGCTTCAGTTTGCACATTTATCACCTTTTTTTCCCCCACAAACATGTATTTCTAGATGCTCTTGGTAAACGTAGCCACAGGAGACACGAGAATGTACCAGGGAGGCATAAATAACTCCAGACAGACACACAGCAAACACGGACACAGTTCACCAAGGGAATCGAACAGGTGCAGAGCATGACCTGCTGCAGCCACCAATCCCAGATGGCTTTGGTTTCATCCCCCAGTCCAAGAGGGTCTCTCTTTCTCTTGCTTTGCAGCAGTTGGTGGAGAATAAAAGCAGGAGGGGAGGAGTCTAAAGTTGCAAACATCTCATGAAAAGATCGTGGCTTGTCCTGGCGCTGCAGTTTCCTGCTGTCGCCTTCTCGGAGGAACAGTTCCAGTTGTGGGACGTTATGAGTCTTTCACAGTGTGAAAGGGCAGAGGGGTGTGGGGACCATTTTGGGGCAGGAGAGGCGGGTCATCTCGCACTGTCTCAAATGCATCCAGCCTATAAACCTTTGCATGGGAACGTCGGGGCTAGATGCTCCCCTCAGGTCTCTTCTGCCCTCACTGAGGTGCTGGTTCCTCTTCAGATTAGCGTAACCTTCAACGGGACATCATCCTAACAAACTCTGCAGCCATTGACAAACAGAGAGGCTAGAGGAGAACACACCAACTGCACCAACACATTCCCATCCCACCTCTCTTCATCCTGAGACACCATGCAGCCAACAGGAAAGCCCCATCCCCACTGCTCACTGGTTTGGTTTCTTGACTGACCCTGGAGTGTTTACGCAACGAGTTACAGGATCCCACTAGCCAGGGCAGTTTATCATTTGGGACACCTGCCCTAAAACAAGGTAATGTCTCCTTCCCACACTAAACTCTTTGGTGGACACTGACACAGCATGTCCACACAGCAGCTGGAAGATGTGATTCCCAGCTTGAGTAAATGTAAATGCACTAGCTCTGCTCAGGCTAGCACACGAAAATAGCAGTGTGGCCACAGGCAGCATGGGTAGCAGCTCAGGCTAGCTACCTGCATTTGTACCCAGAGGGCATCAGGGAGGAAACAGAAATCCACCATTGGGCTGCCCATGGCCACAGAGAGGTTTCTCCTCTGACACAAGGACAGTCTGTCCTAGTATGTGATTCAGGGAGACACGCTTAACAATGAGATGCATTGAGAAGAGTTGTACAGCCAGACACTACTAACCAGGAATTTCCTACACCATCCATCTCTCCCCTAATAGCCTTATCCTAACTAGGGAAAATCCTAGGAGATTCTGACCCAGCTGCCTCTCACCCCATTCCACAGATACCTGGGCCTCTTAGAACATAGAGATCATTTTCCTTCCTCCATTCCTGGAGCAGGGCAATGAGCCAGTCTCTGATCCGAAATCCTGCCTGACCCCAGTGAAGATGGACAGTAGCACATTCTCTCTCACCTTCAAAATCCACGTGCCCATCTCCGTTCAGGTCCACATCTCGGATGATCTCTTCAATATCCCGATGGCCCACCTGCTGCCCCAGCAGCTTCTTCATGGCCTCCCGCAGCTCGCTGGTGCTGATCTCTCCATCGCCATTGGTGTCAAACTGCAGGGAGGCAACAAACAACAGCAGAAAGAGCACAGTCAGCTGGAGCGGACCCTGGGAACCCACAGTCTCCAGACTCGGGTCCCATGTTTTCCCCTTTGGAGTGCACATATTTGTCCATGAGGTCCCCTGAGTCCCTCCTGGCTCCCTCTTTCCTTCCCTAGGCATCTTCTCTCCTCCTGCTCTGGGGCCAGTCTGTTCCAGCAGGTCCTTTTCCTCTCCTCACAGACCCCATACATTATTACTGTGCTTGGCCCATCTTCCCCCTTTGTTCCCTTTTGGGCCTTTGCTCTCCTTGTGCTCCTCTCTTTTCCATACTTGGTTTCTCTTCTTTCCTTCTTAGGGCCCTCTTTACTATATATGCTCGCTCCTCCTCCTCATTCCCCCACTGGTCTTTTCTCTTTCCTGCCTTTGCTCTCCACTTCTCTCCACTTTTACTACATGAAAGAGGGCACTTATCTGTCTGAGGGGGTCACACAGCACAGGGAGTGTTCATCTCTGAGGGGGTCACACAACACAGGGAGTGTTCAGCTCTCTGAGGGGGTGATGCAGAACAGGGGGGCGCTCACCTCTCTGAGGGGGTCCCGCAGCACAGGGGGGGAGCTCACCTCTCTGAAGGCATCACGTAGCTCCTTTACACCAATCATATCTGCAGTTTCTGCCAAAAGCTTTGGTCCCATCAGCTCCACAAAATCTTCAAAATCCACATGGCCGCCCACTTGGGACCAAGGGGAAATTTGTGTGTAAGACATTAATACGCCCTTTTTCCTTAGCCTAGCCGAGCACCCAGGGTAACACATCCACACATGGCTTCCACTGGAGATCAGCCACCCATGGGAGGCACAGCACAAAGAGTGCAGTTCAGGGGGAGGAGAAGCAAACATGACTTTACACCACCTCTGCACCCTCTGGATTCTGGGCAGGGCTGAAAGGGTCCCAGCTCCTCTAAATTACAGCAGCCTATCCCAGGCTGCCTATGAGGGGCAGGCAGTTCAGAATCCCCACAGCACTGTGTGCTATGAATCTGCTCCCAGCATACACCATACCTCAGGGCTTGTGACCGGGCAAGGACATGGCAGCCCCGTGGATGTGTCTCAACCGAGAGAATTCTGCCTCAACCAGCTGTATCTCCTATATGGGCCCTACACTGCACTGGAGCAGGGGAGAAAATCTGCCCCAGAAATTCAACACCACAGCTGGACAAGCTATTTGTAACAAACAATGTATTCAACAAATTAATGCATTTTCCTGTTTATGAAGTATCTGCAATTGGTGAATAGTTCCTCAAATTCCTACCTGTTTGTCAGATCACCAGCCTGACCTAATTATCCAGCCTGTGGTTCACCAGACCGCCTGATTTAATTATCCAGCCTGTGGATCACCAGACCACCTGACTTAATTATGCAGCCTGTGGATCACCAGACCGCCTGACCTAATTGTACAGCCTGTGGATCACCTGATCGCCTGACCTAATTATACAGCCTGTGGATCACATGGCAACCAGTGCCCTGGTTATCTACTATTTGTTATGTGTTATTCTCACATGGTACTGTTTCTGCTCCCTCTCTGGATGATTAATACTTTCTAGCCCAGGGAGTACAACAAATAATGCCTAGTGAATACTCCCGTGGGCACCATACAGCACTGCTGCAGACAGTGTAAGGACAAAGAACTGACGATAGAAGGAAAGGGCACAAATACAGCCATATCCAATCACAGACATGTTTGTGAATACACTTCCCCATTATTCCACCTTTTGTGTGACAGCAGATGGACAGAGGGTAGCCCCTCAGCCCATCAATACCCACACACCAGAGCTATCTCCTCAATACACTCACACCTCAAGCTGAACACCCCAGCATTCTGCTCTGACATAGCACCACCCTCACACCAAAGGATCTCCCTCCTCTTAGCACCCAGTCTCCCTCCTCAGCACAGACCACCTAGAGACCAGGTTCAATACAACAACATGCAGCAGCTGCACAACAGTGCATTAAACATCCTTAAAAGGGCAACAGTTGACTGTGCACACACCAAGGGAAGTCCTATGTTGGTGTGTCTGTCTCAACATATTGCTCTTATACCTCACTATCTACAAACCCAGATAGGTTGGTAGGTTGGAGACAAGCAAACTGACTGATGCCCAGAGAACTAGGCAAACAGACAGATGGACTAGCAGAGAGAGGGTGACAGACAGGCAGGCAGCCAGGACAACAAAGGAAGAGGAACAGATGAGAGCAAGAGACTGACAGCTAAAGCCCAATGCATGGAGGCAGAGAATGGCAGTGAGAGGGGAACATGCAAGCGAGGGGTCACACTCACAGTTCATGTTGATTTGCTGGGATAGCTCTATGAGCTCCATCTCGGTAGGCATGTAGCCCATGGTCCGCATGCAGTTCCCCAGGTCCCTGCAGTTGATAAACCCATCCTTGTCTTTATCGAACTCCTTGAAGGCTTCTCTTAACTCTGTCAGAGTGAATCCGATAAGGACAATGCTGTCAGTGATGGTATTAGACACAGTTCCCAGAACACCCCCGACAAGGAGTCAGCAGCACTCTGGCATGCTAGGATCTCAGAGATGTTCTTCAAGAAGGTGCACATTCCCCCTGCAGATTCCCTGGAGACAAGCTGGAACTGGAGGAGCTCTGAGCTCCACCACCACGAGCACTGCTGCACAATTCCCCACAGCAGTCCCTGCTCAGACTGCAGAGTCTTTGAATGGCCAGATGGTCAGCACTCCTACACTATGTTCTACAGCCCTCCTGCAGGAGATGGAGCAAATGTGATCTCCCCCAGAATCATCACTCCAACACTACACTCTACAGCCCTTCTGTCAGAAGGTGGAGTGTATATGAGCTGCCCCAAAGTCAGCACTCCTGCACCATTCCCTATGATGTCTTCTGCAGGGAGTGGCTAGAATGGGAACAGTTATGAGCTCATCTACCTAGTTTTACCCCAGATTTCTCCCCCCTGTGATCAGTCTGGCCAGCAGTATGTTTTCACTGAGCAGAGAGAAAGTGAGACATGGAGGAAGGGTCAAAGTTTTACCTTCAATTTCTTCTGGTCGCAGTTCTCTGTCCTGCAATGAAAGAACATCTTCTGTTAAACCCAACCATTTGATAGAAAAGTGGTCTCAGAATAGCACTCATGAATACAGGCAGGTCTGGGAGCATCACGCACAAGCAAGAAAGTGACAGAAGAAACAAGAAGGTGATGACATGTTTAATCCCATCTACCTGGCAAGGCTTTGACATCACTCCCTTTCCTATTAGGAGGGTGCCAGCAGCTGCCTGCACACTTCTCTGTGGAAGCCCATCTCCATTTCGCCTGCTGCCCAGGTGGCCAAATAGAAGTATTGTTCCACACCTCAGGTCCAGGGCAACACGGGCTTCTCAAACAGACTCCAGCACTCCACTCCAGATGGATGAGCTGGCACTGAGAGCCTCCACAGTGTGCCTGTATCATTCCCCTACAGCGACTCTGTGTGGCAGAGTCTGGCACTGCTGTAGTTCGGAGCTCCTCTGAAGCTCTTACCATATTCCCTACAGTAATTCCTGCTGGGAACATCTGGGTCTGGAAATAGCTGTGAGCTGCTTCACAATCAGCAAGCCTATAGTGATGGAGAGCAACCATGAGCTCTCGCAACCCTATTTCCTAGAGCCACTCCTCTAAGGAGGGACTGGAACTGTAGAAGCAGTGAGTTCACCCCAGATACAAACATTTCAAGCCCAGGCAGAGAAACAAAATATACAGCAGCAAGGTCATCTACAAACAAAACAGGACAAGGATTCACCATGATCAGGAAACACTGCAACTTCAAACATCCAATTTGGGTGTTGTTTTTCAGAGAGGGGAGGGATGTAAAAGAGTATAGGAAAACTCCAGAGACTGCATCAAGAGGAAGAAAAATGAGCGTGGAAATGCACTGCTTTCTGGTTACTAAAAACCCCTTCTAACTCCACTCATGGCTCCCAGGCAAATCCAGAATATCTGAGAATTTGGAAACAGAGATGAAATTTCCTTTCTTGTCTGAGTCCTGGCTTCTCCCCTCATCTCCCAGGGGTCTGCAGCCTCACCACAGGTCCCTGGAGACTGTGCCCTTGATCTGTTTCATAAGGATGAGCTCTTGCTAATTAACCACAGGCTTCTGTGGTAACTCTAGCGGCAGCTACCCGGAGAATACAGCAAAGTAGGACACACACTGGTTTATGTCTGTGCAAACAGGGGCTGTGCCAGAGAAGTGATCAGCTTGTCATTCATAACCTTCCCAGAGGCATCTCTGTGCTGCATGGAACTTTCAGAGCACTCTAGCTCTGCAGTTTCATCCTTCACAGATCTGGTAATTTCAAACATGTCATCCCATTTCTTCTGCTTTCATAGAAACTGATTTGTAAAAGAGTTCACATTCTTTAAAGCAGGCACAGGAGGCCTCATTGCCTTCCTCTCAGTGATATCATAATGAATTACAGAGACACATGATCAGTAACATAGTGCTTAATCTGTGCCAGGGCTGAGTCCTAGCCCCTCTGGGCTTGGCAGTTCGTAGCCCCGTATCTCCGGGCTTGCCGCGTCAGTTATGAAAGTAAAAAAATTGCTTGAGCCCCGGCACCTCTTTCATTACACATTAAGCACTGTATGCATATCTCCGGCCAAGAGTCTCCAAACTCTTTATGAACTTTAATGACCCCAGGAGTCCTTCTTGAGCACCACCAGTCTGATCAGTAATGTTCAAGATACAGAGGTATCATCATAAAGTCCATTTTACGGAACAGTGAATTGACTCATGCAAAGTTACTCACTGCATCTGTGGCAGCACCTGGCTGAGAACGCAGATCTCCTGCCGTCTAGGCCTGTGCTTTAACCACTAGGCCAGGCTGTAGCACAGTAGATGTCTGAAACCCCATTACAGCCAGCGTCATTAACACACCAGAATGTCCACAAGGAAGTCTCAAGACTTTTTCAGCCTGGCCTCTATTTTGGCACATAGAGGCATTTGCATGTGCAGAGATGTGAGCACTTCTTTGTGTGTGCAGATTCTATCATTAGAGGGGGCCAATGACTGTATGTGCAAAATAAGAGGCCACTCCAGGTCCCTTGGAAAATCTAGCCCAAGCTGTAACTGGTGTTATGAGGAAATTTTCTGTTTTAAAGTCCAAGGAAGCTCCCTTAAAAATGATTAAATAGGAAAACATCTGCTTAAGAAGAAATCAGCTGAAGCAGTGTAAAGCTTTCTGAGGAGAACATATGGAAAAAGGGATACACCTGTTCAAAGAGCTCAGGTCCTAGGAATACACTAGAGGTGATCATCATCATAAGAAACTTTCTGGCATTCATTTATTTCTGTCCTATGCACACTAAATCCTGCTGGTCTAAAGAGTCAACGGGGAGAACAGCTGTTTTAAAATACATTCACTCTGCACCAGGGCTGTTGTCAGAGATGTCTGTGCTCCTCTCTCTGGAGCCTCCTAGGATATTATGAATTTCCAGGCTCTGAACATGGTGGATATAGTCACCCGCAAGCTATTGACATTCTAAATGGAATTTGGATCCAGTTCTTTATATAAGCACATATGATTTGGTAGATGTTTGTGTGCCAGTATATATATGTGTGTGTGCACTTCCTTGAGAATATTTCTGCATGTGTTTTAATGTACTGGCTAATGGAATATGCGATTGTCTGCTAGTGGTTGGAGGCTGCAGAGAATAAAAACTTACAGTGAGCAATAACTTGCCTTTAGCTCAAGTGGAAGGGGACTACGTTTTGGAACTAAAGGTCCTTGATTCTATTCCAGCTAAGGACAAGTGTGTCTTTGCATGTGAGTATATAGAGCAGAGATTTATTATGGAGGGATTCCTGACAACTGGATTTTAACTGCCACGAATCTCAGACATTGAGGATGAGCTTTGTTTGACTGGAAGAGCATGTAATGTACTGGATGAGTATATGCAAGTGTGTACACCTAATCACATATATGCCTGTATGTGTGTTAATAATATGGTGTCTGTGTATATGTGTTTAAGTACGTTAGTATAGATATTAAATGTCTGTGTACAGGGGTATGTGCTTTATATTACTGTGAACATACAGTATGTAAGCATGTCTCTATGTACATTTGACATGTCTGTGTGTATATTTGTGCATATTTTAAGGTTGCAGGAATGGATGTATATGTATGCATATATATGCTTGGATGGGTAGAAATATCGATATGGGTGTGTGCTGTATATTAGAGGGGGTGTAGGTACTGGTACTTGTTTGTGCATTGCTTATTTGAAGGTGTGTGAACAGGTAGCTATTTTGGGGTTTGCATGTATGTGTTCTCCTGTGCAGACATGAGAGCGTGCATGAATGTGTATATGAATCTGAGCTTGTGTGTCAGAGTGAATATAGACAGGTATGCATCTCAGGGCATATTTGAATATGCTCATCTCTGTGTATTGATGGGCCCAATTTTCAAATGTGAGCACATTATGGGACAGTCTGATCCAGTGAAGCACATATAATGGCCATTTAGGCCCTATGTACTAATCTGAGCCTCCATATATGGGATGTGGATGTCTCATTGGAGTGTCATATTTGAACATTGGAAGCCTCAGGTATATCTGCATCCATATGACTGTGTGAGTGTTTCAGTGTGCACTGATCTATCGATCTGTATACGTATTTCTACAATGCCTACAACCTAGGTGCCAGGGTATCTCTGCACATCTTCCAGTTCACATGCCTGAGCATGTATGTGAGTCTGTAAGTCTGCATTTGCAGGTCTGAGGCTGTATGTTTACTGTGGTTGGGGGATCTCAGAGTCCCATGTACGTAGGCATATGTGTGGCTACACGTTTGCGGCAATATGGGCATTGTGTTTTGTATGTTTCTCGCCCGGCAGGGTGTAACTTACGTACAGGCTGCCTGTTTTCTGCGAAGCCCTTCCTCAGGAAGATGCATGCTGGCCCCAGCAGGTTGTGCATGACGGCGCAGTTCTGGGCCAGCATCATGAGTGGACCTTGGTACTCGCAAGCTGACGGCCCCTCTTCACTGGTCTGAACAGCCTTATAGCAGGTCTTCTCCTCATGACGAATCTTCCCAGCCAATCAGCAGCAAGTAAACAATACAACAGAGGAAGTTACCTCCCCTTCTCTCTCAGTCTTTGATCTGATGTTTTACTGGGCTGCCTGACAGAGTAATTAGCCCTAAATTTCCTTCATCTTTCCATGCTGGGTCCCTCCCACCAGTCTAGTACAGGCTTGTATAGAAGCAGTAGGTACAGGAGTTCACTGTCAATGGCTGATAAAAGTCCAGCCAACCAGGAAGATTTCACTTTGAAATGACATCAAACTTTCTCAAAGCTGCACACATCCCTCCAGCTACAGATGAAAGGGCCAGGATAGAAAATGAACATCTCCCGCCCCTCCTGTCTCCAGCCCCAGAGTAAATGATTTCATGTGTGGCCTGCAGTCTGTGTGTGTACAGAAGGAGATTACTGAGAGAGAAGCTTACATCAGGGACCTCCACTGAACAGCAGGCACAGAACCTGCACAGAGAGACTAAGTTTGGCTTCAAGTCACTTTCAGGCAACAGAGTTCAACAGCTTACAGCTCTGTATTAACACCTGTACCATAGTCGTACTAAAACTGTCAGACAGCCGTTTACAGTGTCAGCGAGCTGAGTTCCAGACAATCACAGTTCTAATGAGTTACAATAACTGACCGAGACTATGAGAATGTAGTCTGTCCAGGTCACTTACAATCCAAGTCCCTGAAGCCTTGTCTGCGCTGCATTTTCACAGACCATTCTCAAGGAGTCCACACATCCCAGCCAGTTGGTACTGCAGAATAGAATCTGAGGTTGGAGCTCCAGGCTCCACTGAGGAGTCACTGCTTTCCTTATATAGAAATGCTTTTCTCTGGCGGAAACGTCTCATCCTGGTATTCCCATGCAGCTATAAAAAGCCAGCACTACCCACAGGACCTTTGGTTTTATACAATAAACATTAACAATCATATTTCTGCTTCAGGAATGAGCTCCTGCTTGTACCGATGGCATTCCCAGAGTTCATCTGGGAGGCTTTGTCCACAGCCATTGTCTTTTTATATTGACTCATCCCTTAAATCATGAACTTCTTCTTTCAGGGCTGAGAAACAGGCCACACTTGCTCCCCACTCACACTTGCTCACATTTATTGTAGCTATTTGCTGCGTCTGCCATATGATACTGCATTGCACACATGCTTTATAGTTTACATTTTAAAACACAGTCTTAAGACAATCTGCTCATGTATAATGTCATGTGACTATCAACCAAAAGCACCAAGACCAATATCACACAAAAAGAAACTCACAAAAGAAAGGAAATAGCATAACAGGGTTCTAATTGCAATCACAGATGGGAAGGAAACCCTTTACCTGATTATACATGGCGGATGGGGAATTTATCTTTACAAATATAACAGACTAACATCAATCCACACCTGGCACATCACGGGCGCAACTAATGGTCTTGACATTTGTGTGATAATGACGTGAACATTTGTCACTTTGGTACAACATATTTTATAAATCACCAGCTTTATTTCCCAGAGTCTTTTTCAATATATAATATGAGAGATTGAAAATATACACGTCAGGCCAAATCTGTTGCAGGAGTAATTCCATTGAAGCCAAATGAAAGGTGAAAGGTTCCAAAGCCTAGTCCTAATCCCTACCTGAGCCACCTAGTCTCTCAAGCTTATTATGAAGTCAGTGGAGTTCCATGAAGGATGAGATTAGCCCATTATTTTCCTATGTGGACAGAAATCACAAGTCTGACGAGAGAATTGCCAGAGACACAGAACAGGCTGATCCATAGAACCACAGGTAGTGCAGGGAAAGGGAATTGGACTTCTCTGGCCTAGTGTGACACCATGTGAGTCTCCCCTCACCCCTCTGCCGCTAGTGACCCAGGGTCATTAACAGGGCTCACGGAAAACTGCCCTACAAAGCACCAGTTGCTGCTGCTGTCCATTTGCGCTGCCCCCCCCCCCATCTGGTGCTGGAAAGTCTCCCTTCCCGCATGTGTCCCATAAACACATCAAGCCAAAGCAGAGGAGACACCTCCTCCGCCAGATGGATACAAGGCAAAATGAGGCCAGCCACCTGTTAGTGGCAGAAGCAGCAACATGCAGATCTGAGTACTGATGGCAGCAAGGTAACAGTGAGGAAGACTCAAGCCCTTCTCCTCTCCCCTACCCAATAAAACCCCACAGCCACTCCTGTGGTGATAAAAGCACCTGGCTGGACTCCAACAGAGAGGTGGCTGTAGAGCTGGCAAAAGGTGCCAAACAGAGTGACTTGAAGAATGAAGGTTTCTATTCAGCCACTGTAGAGGCAGAAGCAGAGCCGGCTTCCCCCACATTCCCCTGCCAATGTGCCTCAGTCCTGACCCCGAGGGCCACTCCGAAGTACTGAAATTTATCCCATTTACACCTAGGTGCCTCTGATGAGACGGTCAATTAGTGTTGTGACAGTGGTGTTTACTGCTGTGCGGTCACTGTGCACTAAATAGGGGGCTACCAACAAGAGACTGAATGGGAATGAATTTCAATGACGATTAACTAGAGACAGATGTGAACTAGGGAGGCGGAGGTGAAAAGGTCCATACACCAGTCCCAAACCATACCCCCCTGAGCCATCCCGTCCCTCCAGATTATTCTGAACTTTCTGTCTTGTCTGCCAGAGTTCAAAGTGAGCCCGCTCCCTGCTCTATCAGGGCACTTCACATCCACCATTTCCAGGGCTTCCTCCTCTGTCTAAGCTACTCAGGGAAGTCTCAGTTTGTCTGTGTAGAGATCCTTACACAGCTTCTTGTGCTGCCTCCATAATAAAGAGTGTGCTGGGAGCACTGCAGTGAGAGAAGCTGCTAGGGAGAGGGTTTGGGTGACAGACGATTATCTGTCACCGAAGCTTTGCTTGCCCCCTTGCCTCAATTTGAAATAATTCCCCCCCACAATGCTCAAAGAAGTGCAGAAGGCAGCATCTCTGTCATGCAAAATCCATCCTTCCTCTCCCTGAGGGAGGTTTATCAAAAGCAAGAGGCCTCCAGGTTCCTAACCCTGTTCTCCTAGTTACGTTAAAGTCTCTGTTTCCACTTGACAGACTGCGTTCGGAAGGAACAAATGGAGGAGACCAGCAAGAAGAGGGCCCTGCTTGGCATCATTCTAGCCAAGGTGGTTCCTCAGTCTCAGAACAGGACATGAAAACTCAGTGGAGCTGGGGACAGTGGGAGAAATCTCCCTGACAAAGTCTAGTTCAACCTATGTCCCATCTCTCCTTGCTCACTAAGTTTCCCCTCACTCTGCCAATGTCAAAACCTGAGGAAGAGAGGAGGAATGTTACACAGAGCGGCAGTCTGAGGTTATGTCATGTAATGGTCTGATCCTAAAAGGTACTGAGTAACTCCAGGCTGCAATGAGGTCAACAGCGGTGTAGGGGACTCAGCACCTCACAGCACTGGGCCCTGAGGCCTTAATATATGGGCCAAAGCGAAGCTTGCAGAGTTCTATAATGCGGCCTGTGGGCTTCCTCACCTTAACCCCTTCATTCCTACTCTCTGGAACTATGTGCAGAATGCATCACTTTAAATGGCTCTTAGGAATGAAGAATTAAATACAAATAAAGGCAGGGCCTAAACAAGCTACAAGACCCAGAATGCAATGCTCCATTTTGATCTAAGCAGTCAGGGCCCACTGCATGCTGGGACCTGTATTCTCTGGAAACCACATCTCCACATGAGAGATGAGTGCAGGTACATTCTGTTCCATTTTATGTGCATTGGAGGCAGACTGCAAATTGCCAGAATGGCCCTTTCAGATGTGCAAAGTTTAGGCACCTCCAGCTGGCTGAACCCCAAGTGCTTCTCCTGCTTCTTCCCCAGGGTAACACTGACCAAAAGGGAGAGCTCAGCACTGTCTAGCTGCTTTGGAATGAATTGCCTCATTACATACCCCATAAATCAGTTGGGTCTGCTGGGGTAGGTGGGCTCCCTCCCTCCCACACAGCAATGCTTTGTCATTACCAAGAAACACTCCAGATTTAACTTGTGCCTTGTTTGTGGTAGCTGAGCTCGCAACCATGAGCTGCTCCACAAAAGTGACAAACCCAAGGCCAGAAAACATTCACTGCTAGCAAGGCCTCCACACTGTGAGCGTCCTCGTGGCAGGGCCGTTCCATGGCTGGCAAGGTACTCAGTGACTCCAGGCTGCAATGAGCGTCCTCACAGCAGCACCATTTCACTGCTGGCAAGACCTCTGCACTGTGAGCTTCCTCATGGCAGTGCCACTTCGTTGCTGGCGAGGTCCCCTCATCATGGCTTCCCGACAGCAATGCCATTTCACTGCCACTGAGGCCTCCATGCCGTGAGCTCCCTCAGTGCGGTGCACTGCCATTGCCTATTACAACCTTCCCCTTTGTAAGGAACAAGCAGATCATTTCGTGGTGAATTATTATTTGGTTCAGCGTCCCCAAGTGAATTCCTTCCTCCAGCTGGCCTAATGGGCGCATTCTATCTCAACGCCTTCCTCATCCTGATACTCACAGTGCCCAGGGAGAACCATTCCCATTGCCAATTCAGCCCATAGTGGCAGCACAGCTCCTAAATCTAATTAATCCCTGAACCATTCTGAGACCTAAGCACACAGCAGCCCACAGGTAAAATGCAACCAGACACACATGGCAGTACAGGTGGGCATGAATGTGTACGCACATGGGGCATGCTTACACATGAGGGAAAGCATGAACACACATACCTGAGCAAACATGACCAAACACATGCAGACACGTACCACAGAAAGCAGGCACCCACATATACATAAATACGGGCACAAACATGGATACATACAAATATGCAAATACACAAATACTCAGATCCACACATATGTGAGGACACCCAAGAATAAATGCACACATGCAGACACAAATGCGCACACACACACACATATATGTGTGGACATACGCTCATGCATACACTTAACCACACATCCTCACTCACAGATGTTGCACACATATGCATGAGTATGCACACACATTCAGATATACACACGGAAATG